TCTCGGCTCTTAAACTACAGAAAGAGCTCAAAACTTGTGGTATATATGGCCAAGCAAAGGCGCTCTTTATGTCAGCTCAAAGTTGGCTCAGCGATCAAGGGATGGGAATTCGGACCTTGTGAATGTGCATTGCATAGGGACTCTATTGAAGAGCGACTGCTGCAGAGCCTACCCCCTAACTACTGTGCGTCCAAAATCAACTAAGGTGATGCTTGATAATGAAATGAAGCATTCTATGACCTCTAACGATTCCTCAATCTTTGGCATGAATCTCCGTAAATAAGGTAATTCCGTAAGCTCTCAGTTGGACTCAATAGGGCATTAGGTTCGATGCTTGTCTGTGAGGTGAAACTGAAATCTTCGAATCACTTAAAGGCAGTTGGCACGATGGTTTCCTACTTAGCCTAAAATGCTAGTAGGGCGCTGTATAGTGGGGAAATGGCGAAAGAACGGAGTGAAACGGTCAAAATCCTGCGAAGAAAAAGCCTCCGTTCTCAGTGACTTGTAAATCGATTTCGGACGAGTTTCCCGTAGGCATCTTACCAATCACCGCTACCGAAGATACGGCTGCATATGTGTACCCATGTATGCATGCAGCATCACGGCCGCTTCATATTCGCTTCATAATTTGCTTAGCAAATGAATGAATACGAGCGTCAGGAACGGTCGTCCATTTGTGGGCGGGCGGGCGTTTGGGACGTGTGGCTTGATAGGGCCCTTATAAGGGCACCTTCCTCGGGGAAACCGCTATGCAGCGCCTGCCCAGGGTCGCGGAATTCTATCCTGCCAGGAGTATTGATCCTCCAGGAGTATTGATCCTGGTCGCCTTGGGGATTTATCGTGCCAACTGTCTTTAAATCAACGTAAGCATTCCTAGGAGACATAGCTTCTTGGCCATATAGCTAGCTACTTGGCCTGTGCAATTATAGCTTTTTAACTAGATGTAGAGAAGAGAAGCTGTAGATGCTCAGTTTCGTCAACCTGACACTCCAGTTGAGCACTCAAATATTAGTGAAAAGTGAAACTTTAAAAATTTGAGAAGACTATCGTATAGGGCAAGGAGTTTTCTGCAAAACGTATAAAAATCAGTGGCGAAACTTTTCATCTTTAGTGCGATATTTCGAGTGAGGAAGAATCGCCATTACTTATTGGCCGACGCAATACCTCCCGTTTAGGGATTGTTATCTACCATATCTGCTTTTTAGGTCTGGAAAATGAGGGCACATTCGATACGTGGCAACTTTTGTCGGCAATTCGTGAAAAGAACATCACCCTTGGAGTGCAGGTGATTTTTTTCTCCCGCCTTTACTTCTTTTGCCTTTGTCTGTGCCAAATGTCTCTTACAGTATGTCAAGGGTGACGTAGAGGGTTTCCAATTTGAACGGCTCGTAACAAGGGCAGAACCTCATGCAATGGAAGACCATGATCTTGCAGATCAGGAAAAACTCCGTGCTCAGCGAATTACAGGAGTTCTGGTTAGCGTACTTGTTTAGCCTGTTTGAGCCTGAGTTACTTCTTCTTGTGTCGAGTTCATCCAATTTAGGTCCGTCCACAAATGTCTGACACTTCAGCACGACCGATACGATGCTATATGGTAGTGAATGCTGCTGGTCCATGGGCAGGCAAGATTGCTGAACTGGCTGGCATAGGTATGAAGTTGATCTGGTAATTCATTTTGTTGCGCGGATGAAAAATGAAGTCCAGGAATGGGTTTCGTAAGTGGAAATTGATGGGAAGAGTTCGCTGAGTAGGAGTTGGGCTGGATAGAATCGTACCTCTGAGGGATCAAATGCTTTTGTAGCGACATTTTATTTCTGCTTATAGTGGAACACTTGTTACTGCTGAAGATTTACTTGTTCGCATTATGGAGTTTCAGGCAAAGGAGAAGGATTATTGGCTGTTCCGGTTCCCGTACGACCAAGAAGACGAACAAACTTTGTGATCCATGCCCCAGATGTTCCCGTGGATATGCCGGCTCTCGTCGAACCATGTGGTGTTCACTGTCGTCAAACTGATGTTGGAAATACCTTTGTTGTAGGCAGGAATCCTCCAGAGGTGAGACTTTTGAGGTTTTTTTTCACTAATCTCATAAGGAACACGTAAATGGAGCTATTGGTTCAGGAAGAAGATCGCAGGGACAACCGCGAATCCCTCGAAGTAGATTACAACGAGTTTTATGAGAAGATATGGCCAGTTTTGGTGAAAAGAGCGCCTGGATTCCAATCAGCAAAGGTTCGAGTTCCTTCTATTGCTCACTGGAGTAGTGTCCGCTATGAACACTGGCGTCATTTTTTTTGCTACGTGGTGGTTTTTTCTTGTTCATTTCTTGACCTGTTCCCGTTTTTTTAGCATATTCTGGGCTACTTGTAGTTTTGTCTTCCGAAAATTTTGCTGAGCTGCAAGAGTTACGTTACCATCTTTCTTCAGTAGAGAACCGGCACCTTGACTCTCGCAATAAGGCAGGCTTTGAGGCTAGCAGGGTAGAGGACCGAGGTGTCCCCTTCCCCGTGTTATCCTTTGTAGTCGTGCAGTCTTGTTGAAGTCTCCGCGCTCACCAGTTCGTGAGCATCCTTCCTTGTTCAAAAAATCCGCAGGATCCAAGATTCTCCTTTTGCAGCTTGGCAATAGGTGACGAAGGCTCTGCGGCCCTCAAAGTGGGAGTTCTGATGCCTCCTTAGTTATCCCGCCCACCATAACGCAAAGGCTATTTTCTGGTCAGGGTCCAGTTTTTACACCACATTTTTCGTTTTTTTTTCGACTGTTAGGTGGTACTAGCATTTGATTTGATTTGATTTATTACATGTACACAT